CATGCCTATAATCCCAGCTATTTGGGAGACTGAAGCAGAGGATCCTAAATTCAAGGCCATATTCTACAACTTAGCAAAATTCTATCTCAAAAATCAAAAGTGGAGAGCTGAGATTGTAGCTCAGCGGTAGAGCACTCGTCTAGCACGTGTACCACATAAAAATAAATAAAATAAAGGTATTGTGTCCAACTACAACTAAAAAAAAAGGCTGGACACAGTGGTGCACACCATGTAATCCCAGTGGCTCAGAAGGCAGGAGAATTGCAATTTCTAAGCCAGCCTCAGCAAAAGCAAGGTGCTAAGCAACTCAGACCCTAAATAAAATACAAAATAGGGCTGGGGACATGGCTCAGTGATCGAGTGCCCCTGAGTTCAATCCTCAATATGCTCTCCCACAAAAAAAATCAGAAGAACTAGGGGAGTGACTCAATGGTAAAGCACCCTGGGTTCAGTCCTAGTACCTCCTACCCAAATACACTCAATCTGAACAAATCATGGATTACTGACAGCCCATAACTTGATAACATGAGAATTACACCTGTGTCCTTTTCCGAGAAGCAATGACCACAAAACAATGGTTCAAAAAAATCAACCTGTCAACCTGGACATGAGGGAACTGCTGGTACTAAGCCTGGGACTTAGATCATGCTCCTCCACAGGCAACAGGGAAGGCTGGGAATGTCGTGCCAACACCAGGTATCAGAACACAGTAGCAGCAGGGTGCAAGGGCAAGAATCAGTGTACTTGCCTAGCATGCAGAAAGTCCTGGATTCAAGCCCCAGCATCACAAAACAAACCATACACAGCTCCCCCAAAAAACAACTAAGAAAGTATCCTATCACACTCTACTTCTCACTACCTAGCCAGAGTTCCTGAGGCATTCTGCTTCCTGCAATTACAACTTTTATAGCAATCACTTTCTGATTAACTTATTTATACATGAGAATGAAATATGAAACTGACAATCTCACTTATATAAAAAGCAACATGTAAAAAGTTTCTCCGCATTTTCAAAGATGAATACATGTGCTTTACTCATCACGAATGCCCCATCAAAGAAACAGTAGACCAAGAGAGAGGCACTTATAACAGGCCATGTGAGTTAGGGAGTGAGGGAGGGAGAACCTCTACAGAAGACCTCTCAAGTGCTCTGAAATCCTTAACAGTGAACACCTATACCTACCAAAAAATTTAAAATCACTTTCATCAAATTAATTTAACCAACACATTCCAACTAACACATAACTTGGAAAAAACACTATTATTTTCCTTTTAAATTTATATTGCATTAACTAAGGAAATAAATTATTTTACCTTTCACTTTCACTACAATAGTAACTCAAGCATATTCAAACACTACTGACRGGTACAATTTAAGAATTTAAAGGCAGGGTAATGGGGCTGGGGATGTGGCTCAATCAGTAGCGCGCTCGCCTGGCATGCGTGCGGCCCAGGTTCGATCCTTAGCACCACATACCAACAAAGATGTTGTGTCCACTAAGAACTAAAAAAAAAATAAATATTAAAAATTCTCTCTCTCTCTCTCCTCTCTCAAAAAAAAAAAAGGTGTTGTGTTCAACTACGAAAAAAAGAAAACTAAAAAAAATATTTAAAAAAAAATAAAAAAATAAAGGCAGGGTAAGGTAAATCTTTTTTCTTTTTGTGGTGGTGCTGGGGATGGAACCCACTGCCTCATGGATGCTAGACAAGTACTCTGCCACCAAGCTAAATCCCCAGACCTTTTTAAATTTTGAGAAATTTAAAAGTTGTCTGGGCCAGCCTTGAACTTGTGATCCTCCTGTCTCAGTGACAGAGTCAATATCATTAAGGGGATGTGCCACCATGCCATGTAGCAAAACAGGATAAATCTTTTTTTCTTTTTGGTTTTTTTGAGGGGGGGAGGGAGGGGGAAGGAGGGAGATGAGGGAGAGAGGGAGAATTTTTTAATATTTATTTTTTAGTTTTCAGTGGACACAACATCTTTGTTTGTATGTGGTGCTGAGGATTGAACACGGGCCGCACGCATGCCAGGCGAGYGCACTACCACTTGAGCCACATCCCCAGCCCCAAAGCAGGATAAATCTTAACGGTACATAACATAAATTATGTCTTTATGAAGACACTATCTAAGATACACTCCCAGCAGGAGAGTTGTGGAACCAAGAGTATCTCCATCTCATATGCTGACAATGCCAGGACAGACTGCCCTCCTGCACACTCTGCTATTCCCATTTACTCTTCATGAGTAACGTATAAGGTCAGAAATGGTCTGTAGGTAGTTGTGGGAGGTGCAGGGAGGTTACCTTTTAAATAGAGTAAGTAATTTTCACACAGTACACAGAGGTTACTGATCTGCCCTAGCCTTCCAAGCCACTCTCCCAAGACAAATGTCCGCAACCTCTGGTGTTCCACTAAAAGCAGTATCTGCACATAAAGCACATCAACAAGTACACAACTCCTTCCTTTGAAAAAACACCAAGCACCTTTGTAATTCCAGTTACTCAGGAGGCTGAGGCAGGAGAACTAGATTGCAAAAATATACTAATAAACAAGAATGAGGAAGGTCTGCCCATGCAGGATATAGAAAAGCTCTAAAGGAGCCAGGCACAGTGGCACATATCTGTAATCCCAGTTACTCTGGAAGCTGAAGCAGGAGGATTGCAAATTCAAGGTCAGCCACAGCAATTTAGCAAGACCTTGTCTCAAAACAAAAATTACAAGGGCTGGGGATGTAGCTCAGTGTACTTGCCTAGCATGCAGAAGGTCCTGGATTCAAGCCCCAGCATCACACAACAAGCCACACACAGCTCCCCCAAAAAAACAACTAAGAAAGTATCCTGTCACACTCTTCTTCTCACTACCTGAAGGCTCACATCAACACACACCAGAGGACACCACTCTCCTTTCACAGTTCTGTATCATCCCTCCGTGAAGAGCTGGACGGTACCACTCCCTTACCAAGGAAGCCATAGGTCTTTGCCTCCTGCAGTTATAATGGAGCAAATGTATCCTGGAGAATATTCTGGAGCAAGTGTATCCTTGAGCATATCCAAGTGTACCAGTCAGACACACTCTGAGAACTCCACTGCTGGGATGCCTAGAGGCAGATTAGAACCACTTACCCTCCATCCTAGGAAATGTCCAGTTGAGCTACTGATGCTGTTCTTATCCAAAAAATTTTCATATAAAGAAAACAGTCCGTCTTTATACATACTGAAAATAATTTGTTCTAGTTCACCGACCTTCATCTTACAACAAAGTTTGTACCCTTTGAGTGACATCTCACCATCTCTCCCAACATAAAGGAATTTCATTTATTTATTTATTTTCTGGTGGGACTGGGGGTTGAACTTAAGGGTGCTTTACCACTGCATTACAGCCTCTGCCCCCTTTTTTCATTTTGAGACAGGGTCTCATTAAGTTGCTGAGGTTGGCTGTGAACTTCTCCTGCTTCAACCTCCTTGTCACTGGGAGTGTTTGGGAATTTTGGTATGTCAGTATTTTGAGTTTCTAAATAGATAGTGGTGCCTAGCTTTCTATTTTAACTTTCTGAGATATTATTATTATTATTATTATTATTTTAGTTGTAGTTGGACACAATATCTTTATTCTATTTATTTATATGTTTGTTTATTTATATGTGGTGCTGAGGAGTGAACCCAGGGCCTCACATGTGCTAGGTAAGCGCTCTACCACTGAGCCACAACCCCAACCCCACTTTCTTGGTTTTGAAACATTTTAAGATGACAGAAATCACATCATCAAACCTGCTATTTATCCAAATGGCTAATCCAGAGTTTTCAACATTGTTCACTGAACAACCTTTGTATTCCACATTGGTGGWAAACACTCGCTTCATAATAAACCAAATTATTATACATTTCAGTTATTTTCTGTAATCTTAGTTTCTTCCATTAATGTATTTCTTTTTTAGCATTAATTTCATCATCCTTTAAAAACTGCATTGACATTTTGGTTTAATTAAAATGCTAATAAAATCTAAGATTCAAAGAGATTCATTACTAAAATGAGGACTTCAACCTATAAACCTATAGAACTTATCTGTTTCTGAAACCCTAAGTCTCAAGATAATGGTTGCCATTTTACAACTGCTTAATTGCAAAAATTTAGCAATCTGATAATACCCAAGTATTGGCGGGGGGTATATGCACTGATATTAGGGGTACAAGCAAGAAGAAAATCCACTGCTAGGAATATACCCTATCTAAATCCCCATACATGCAACCAAGAAGCTATTTTAAAAATTCCTATTATTATTTATAGGATATCTAGAATCAATCCAAATGTTTATGAATAAAGACAGTTTTTAGAGCAGCAATGAAAAAATAAACCATGCCCAACAACAGAGGTAAGCAGAAATGTAATGCTGAATGGGGGGAAAAATTCAAATCAAGATAGGGGTTCATTCACACCAGAAGTACATTCCCAGCACTACCCGCCTCACCTTTTTTTGCAGTACTGGGATTGAACCCAGGGCTGTTCTACCACTGAGCTATAGCCCTTTTCTTATTTTGAGACGGGTTCTCGCTAAGTTGGCCCAAGTTCGGCCTTCAATTTGGGATCTTCCCAACTTAGCCTCCATTTATTTTTTAGCTGTAATTGGACACAATAAAGATATTTATTTATTTTTATGTGGTGCTGTGGATTGAACCAGGGCCTCGCATGTGCTAGGCGAACGCTCTAACACTGAGCCACAATMCCAATCCCAAGTAGTTGGTTTATAAGCATGCTTGAAACCATATTTACAAAGCTCAAAACAAACAAGAATCATAAAAATATGTAATAATGTTTTTGAAAGAAAATCATACATACAAAATCCTGGATAGTTAATAGGATAATAAACAGATATAGTACTCTGCTAAAAAAGAGTGATAACAAGTGCCTATTTAATTATTTTGCTTACTAATTTAGGAATACTACATTATTCTTATTCTACATTTGGTTCTTTATAGTAGGAATGAACACCAAATAACACTTACATCCAATTCAAAGAACAGATCTCTTTCTTTACTTGCAATCTCATAATCTGCTCGGAGGGCCAAGTCGTGGATCTTGGTACATTCTCCTAAATCCATGCGCTGTGGGAAAGCGAAACATTACATATGAATATTTTGCAGAAAGTTGCAGAACATGTAACAGGCCTTGAATTACTTCTTATTTTTTGGAATCAGGGATTGAACCCAGGGGTGCTTAACCATGGAGCAACATCCCCAGCCCTTTTTATATTTTATTTAGAGATAGGGTCTCACTAAATTGCTTAGAACCTTGATAAGTTGCGGAGGCTGGCTTTAAACTTACAATATTCCTATTTCAGCATTAGAGGCATGCACCACTGCGCCCAACTATGACTTGGTATTTTAACAGATAAAATAAACTATTTTTTTGAGTACTAAAACTTGACAATTAAGAAATCAAATATGGCTGAGAAGCTTCTTTTACCACCATGATTACGAGATACCTGGAAATGAAGCACTCAACAGTGTAAAGGTGCACCTCTTTTCGATTCAGGTAAGTGAACTGCAATCAAGAAAACCTATCATATTAGCTCTCACCACCTTTATGCACTTACTCTCTTTATTTGCAGTACTGGCATTGAACACAGGTCCTTGCACATGTTAGCCAAGTGCTCTACCACTGAACTACGTTTCCAGCCCTTTTTTACTTTACTTTGAGGGTCCTGGCACCACCAGTCTTATTTCTGCTGCAGGTGAAGCATTCAGTAATGAATGTTTTAAGGGATGCAACTGGCAAGGCCAGAAGACAGTATCATCACAACAGCTTTCTAGAATTCCTCCTTGTGATTTTGGCTACTCAAACTATTCCATGTTGGCTGAGAGAAGGCAGACCATGCAAGGAGGCTGAGCGTGGAGAATCCCAAGTTCCAGGCCAATATGGACAAGAGATATTGTCTCAAAATTTAAAAACAGGGCTGGGGATGTAGCTTAGAGGTGAAAGGGATGCTTAGCATGTACAAGGTTATGAGTTTGATCCCTATTATGAAGAAAATGAAATGAAAAAATAAGTAAATAAAAAGGAAAAAAGATGCTTTATGCTTAAGATGAAGAAACAAGAAAGCAAAAAGGAAAGATGAGTCAGAAATTGAGTTCTGGCAATTACAACACAACCTAACAAGTGGCTTTGTGTGGCTCTTGATATAATAATGGGATTAAAGCAGAAAGGGCTGATTCAGAGTCCAAAGAATCTTCCAAACATTCTTCTAACCTGGTAAATGACCCTAGACACATAACTGGATCACTCAGTTGCCAAACTTGAGAAATAATAAGCCCTCTTACTAAAACAAAATGATCTGTGTTGTAAGTTTAGCTTGATGTACCACTATGCGTTCTAACCAGATGTAGACTAAATAGGTAACAGTGAATGCTTTTTTAATCTAAACCCTAAGACCACAACTCTGTGCAGGCACCTCCACTCTGGCCATCTGGATAACAATAAAGAAGTTTGCATAGATGGTATTAAATTAACAAAAATTAACCTGATCAAAAAAAAAAAAAAAATTACATTGAGGGCTAGGGATGTGGCTCAAGCGGTAGCGCGCTCGCCTGGCATGCATGCGGCCCGGGTTCGATCCTCAGCACCACACACAAACAAAGATGTTGTGTTCGCCGAAAACTAAAAAATAAATATTAAAAAATTCTCTCTCTCTCTCTCTCTTTAAAAAAAAAAAAAAAAAATTACATTGAACTCCAGTAACTCCTTTAAGCTCAAACTGTAACTGTGGGCCTGGGATTGTGGCTTAGTGATACAGCACTTCCCTAGCATGTGTCAGGCATTGGGTTCAATTCTCAGCACCACATACAAATAAATAAAAAATAAAGATCCACTGATAACTAAAAATATTAAAAAAGAAAAAAAACCTGTAACTGTGACCGAAACTATTTTTTAAAGTTCCTGGATTATAGAATCCTTACATCCCATGCAAATTAAAGGACAGGCCTAGTCCTGTAGAAAATGTGTGCCAGGCTTAGTAACAAAATACCATTCCATTTTACCAGCAACAGAGTCAGAATGGGGTTGGGCAAACAAGTAGTGGAATTTATCTTCATTTTGTGACTTTTCTCCATTATTTTTATTCTGAAGTCAGAAGTAGCTCACGTTATGCTGATTATATAGGGGGTCTAGAGGAAGGGTAAACAGTGGTTATAAAAGCCAAAGTTGCAAGTAAGATCACTGACCCTGTAAACCTGATAATTTCTGCTTCATAAGCTTTTCTAAGTACCAAGTACTTTTTTTTTTTTTGGTACTAGAAATTAAACCCAAGGGCACTTTATCATTGAGTTATACACCCAGTTCTTTTTTTTTTTTCTTTTTTGAGACAGGATTTGCTAAATTGTCAAGGTTGGCCTCAAACTTGTGATCTTCTTGCCTTAGCCTCCTGAGTAGCTGAGATTATAGGTGTGTGCCACTTCACCTGGCCTGGGTACTTACTATTCAGCCAGGTGTGGTGGGCCAGGCCTGTAATCCCAGCTACTCAGAAGGCTGAAGCAGAAGGACTGCAAGTTTGAGCCAGCCTGAGGAATTTAGCAAGACCTTGTCTCAAACATAAAGAAGGAGATGGATGTAGCTTAGTGGTAGAGTACCCCAGGGCCAATCCCTAGTATAACCAAAAATAAATAGACAGATACATAATTTCCATAAATGGAACTAAGTGCTTACAGCTGAAAAATGAGTGGAATATCAGAAAGAAATGCTTTAAACTGGGGCTGGGGATGTGGCTCAAGTGGTAGCGCGCTCGCCTGGCATGGTGCGGCCCGGGTTCGATCCTCAGCACCACATACAAACAAAGATGTTGTGTCCACTGAAAACTAAAAAATAAATATTAAAAAATTCTCTCTCTCTCTTAAGAAAAAAAAAAGAAAGAAAGAAAAGAAATGCTTTAAACTAACAAAGGCTCTGTTGTTGAAAGAAAAAACCATCACCAAAGGAAGTTAAGAACTAAAACCTTTTGACTCAAGTACAAAAAGTCATAAGTGCACACTGGCTTCTATTTTAAACACTCAACTATCAAGCAAGTTTTGACATTAAAAAATCTCACCTTAAGCAAAGCTCAACACTTTATTTATTGACGCGAGGGCTCTCAAAATTCACTGCTAACGCAGGACGCAGTGGTGCACATCTGTAATCCCAGCGACTCATGAGGCTGAGACAGGAATTCAAAGCCAACCTCAGCAACCACAAGGACCTAAGCAACTCAGTGAGACCCTTCTCCCTTCTCTAAATAAAATACAAAACAGGCTGAGGATGTAGCTCAGTGGTTGAGTGCCCTTGAGTTCAATCTCTGGTACCAAAAAAAAAAAGTCACTGCTAAAACAGAGTACAAGTACAGGATTGGGATCCATGACCACCTTTTTTGGTATACCTTTCCAGCTATGTCAAGGAAGCAAGAAGACACTGGCCATTCCACAAGTAGCTGAAACACCAAGCTGAATTGATATATCACATTAAATTCTTCCAAAATACTCCAATTTGGCTATGAAGCCAATGTGTCAGACCATTTTTTACTATGAGATATAGTACCAACACCTATGTTTTCCACTCTATGCTCTGGTGGTCTAACATGGCTGACAGAAAGCCAAACATGATGGTACACATTCCAACTGCTAGTGAGTACTGAGGTAGGAGAATCACACAAGTTCAAGATCAGCCTAGGCAACTTAGCAAGAACAGTCTCAAAAGTAAAATAAAAAGGGTTGGGGATTTGTTCAGTGGTTGAGTACCACAAAAAAGAAAGCCAGGTGATGGTGCATACTTTGTAACCCTAGCAACTCGGGAGGCTGGAACAGAAAGATCCCAAGTTGAAGGCCAGCCTGGGCAATTTAGTGAGACAGCTAGGAAGATAGCTCCATGGTAAAGCACCACCATGTTCAATCCCAATGGGGGAAAAAACCAAACAAACAAACAAAAATTCCACTATTGGGGCTAGGGATGTGGCTCAAGCRGTAGCRCGCTCGCCTGGCATGCGTGAGGCCCGGGTTCGATCCTCAGCACCACATACAAACAAAGATGTTGTATCCGCCAAAAACTAAAAAATAAATATTTAAAAAATTTTTTTTAAAAATTCCACTGTTGACAAGGAAGGCAACTAGAGGTGCCTGAATCTTCAGAAAATGGAAGTTCTACCAAGACCTAGTACACCACCTTACCTCAAATTGCTACTTTCATCTTCCAAACTCACTACATTTTCCCATAGGCCTCAATAATTATTTCCATTATCCCTGACCCACCCCGTTAACCACAGGAGAGAGTTTGACAAAAACCTGGACCAGGAGCAGCTCTTAGCAGGCTGAGGATTATAAATACTTTATCTCTGCTGCTAAAGAACTATGTTCATTCAGTGTACTGCAAAAAGAACTGCACAGAAGAGTGATCTGGTTCCACTATACCTCACCTCCAAAAAGTCCACAGCAAAGCTCAACACTCACAACCTCCTTTAGAATTCCCAATCCTCACCCTATTTTCAGCAGCCCCTGACCTTTGCAAAGTGCATCTATACTTCCTGGGTTTCTTCCTCCTCCTCCTCCTCCTCAGCCTGCTCTAATTAAACATCTCTGTTGAGCTATCTTGCCTAATTCAAGCATTACAGTGATCTACCAAGCCCATGAGTTTTTTCAACTCACCTAACTCCACAGCTCTGCCTCCCTCATAACAGATCAGACACATTCCCTCTGATCTTGCCTCCACTCAGAACATGATATCCCTGAACCACACTCATGTGTGGTTTCACCTTTCAGGTCTCTGCTCAAATGTCCCTCAGAAGCCTTTCCATATCATCCTAGCCTAAAACAGCTAGTTATCTACTTGCTGTCCACCCTCTTTCCCACTGAATAAGAGTGTGGATTTTACCACTGGCTTGGTATCTCTAGCACCTGGCACACAGAAGTGGTCTAATAATAAATATTAAGCAAATAACTTTTAACCTAACAAAAAGCACCTATAGGAAACCCTTATTCTGATTATTTTTCTTGCCAGTGTTCCAGAGCAATGCCAAAGGGCTCTGACCAATGAAAATATGACTGAAATCCTCAGTAGGGTTCATGTCCATCTGCTTTCTCTGCTTTTTTCTGGTATGGATTTGTCAATGTTTCCAAGTTGTGATTCCTACACAAGAACGTATCCTATTGCTGAACTGCTCATCACTAATGGAGATTACTAATCTGCACACATTACTCACAATATGCTACAGAAAATAACAGTATGATGTTTTCCTACCCTGGGTTAGACTGCAAGCAGGACCCAAGTAACCCAGGCATAGGTTTGGTGTTAACATTTCATGTCTACGGCCAGAAATGCCAGTCTTGAAGACTTAGTATAGCTGAGCAGTTCCTCAGCAGATATGTCCCCAACATGGTAATAACAGAAGCCATGATTCACCATGAAGAAATGTTTTCTGGAACACAAGTGGGCAGTTTTTACATTCCACAAGGCAGCCGTAAAGACTTAAAATGGGGATCCTTTGTAGAACACTTTTTGCTTTAAGTGAATGAACAGATGATCCTCCACCACTTATTCTTCTTAAATTGTATTTAACTTTGAATAAATGTAAATTCCACAAAACTAGCATCCATTTTGTTCACCTGAAATAGATTCTACAGTCACTGGATAATGCATGGATTTCACAAAAAAGTGACATAATAAAAACTAAAAAATTAATGCTATCCCCAACTGTTTAAAAAAAAAAAACTATAAGAAGAAAATGTATCTTGCTTGGTAAAGAGCCTAGAATATAGTCAACCTGTAATCATACAAACAAATCCATCCAGAATTTTTAAAGAACTACAGGCTGACATAAAGTGCATATTGTGCTACATTAGAATGTTTGTACTACTTAGGTGTATGTATTTCATTGTGAATGATTTTACAAAAACTTGATAGCTTTACAAACAGAATTTCACACCACTGAAATATGTTCCATAACGTAAAATTCCACCACATTAACTTGAAAATTAGCAAGTAATTTCTGCCTGTTGGAGGAAAATAAAATTTAACCTGAAAACCCTTCACTGTCTACACAACACCCAGGGTGAGTATTTCATGAGGTCCCCAAAAATGTACCTACCGTCCCAGCCAGGATGTCATGGGGGCAGCAGTCCAGAAGGTGACTCTTGCAGACTCGATCATCTGTAAACTTGACCCTCTGTCTGGTTTCGTCTCCTGAAATTCATTTGTGGTTTTAAATAAGACAATATTATCAGGCTAATCACAAAAGGATATCTGGTACAACAATTCACCTGGATGATTTGCAGACTATCATTTCTGTGTTTTCCCCATCACATATACTGAAAAGCTGATCTAGAGACATTTACAACTGGAGTAGAATACAGAATTTTTTTTGGAGGCCAAATTTACCATGAAGAATCACAATGATATCTGACTCCATCTTTGTGCCAAAAGAAGTCAAGGAGTCAGAAGTAAAAGACTGAGCACCAAAAGGCCATTGTCTAATATATATATACATGTGGGCAGTGAGATACCAATGAGTGCCATCAATCAACTGTGTGACTTAATAGCTGATAATTTCTACAAACAAAATCTACTTATTAGCTTAATCTTTTTGTTATGGAGAAACACAAAAGCGGTGGTTTGCCCAAATTTACATAAAGAAGAAAGGTTTCAAACTCTTATCACTGACTGTTAAATAATCTAGATCTATTTTCTCATTCCCCTTTCATCCCCACCCTTAAAAAAGAAAGTTGGCACCTGGGAGTCACTTTTAACAAGACAATACCAAAAAAAGCAAAAAGGAACTAGGTTAGTCAATACACACTGTGAGCTCCAACACATACTGTACCCATCTGCATTCTTCAAGACCTCAGCTGCAGAATTTTATGCCCGCTGTTGAAAAGTTTTAAAGGAAAAGTTTTCTTGCCCACACCTGCAGTAAGGAAGTCAGGGGGAATGATACATAAAAGTAAAGGCAAAGTGGTATGTGACAAATTTTAAAGCTAATCTGTGTATAGGACACAGAGCTGTGTAATAGTCAAGGAGGAATATATTTTAGGATTTGCAAGCATCCAGGATTAATGTAGTGTCTTTTTATTGAAAATGTTTTCTTTCTAAACTACACTTTTAAAGTTACTTGTGAAAAAAAGCAAACACTTTTTTGTTATAACAGCTTAGAAATTGGTTGTGACTCACGGCTCGATGAACATGAGGCTTTTCTGCAACTCCCTTGCAGATTGATGTAGGCAGGCAAAGATACACTGAACCTTTATAAATAAAATAGAGGGGCCACAATTGTTCAGTTTGTATGAAATAAAAATATGGGAAGCAATTCAAAAGCAACTCAATAAACAAAGAAAGCTAAAAAGCACTTATTCACCTATGAAATAAAGTGCAAAGAATCTGCACAGCCCTGAGAATGTGCCAGTGTGAACTTACAACTTCATTACTTCAGTAGAAAAGGAAACAAACCACAGCAGGTATATGTTTTGCAAGAATGCAACCGCTTTATCCTGAGACAACCATGATCTTTCGCTCCTCCCTACAGTACAACCTACCTAACGACCGCCAAGCGCTGCCTAAGCAGAGGCTCTCCTGTGTGGTTGGGGGAAAGAGGGGCTGGAGAAGTACTAGACAGAAACCCACGTTAGAAAAGCTCAATTTATGGCTACCCTTCAATGGTACAGGACAGAACGCCCCAGGGTTTCGAGGCCCATTCTTCTGCCCTGAGGAGCCACAGAGAATTCCGCCGCCTGGCTGCCAGCGACCCAGAGCCCGTGCTGGTTCCAGCCCTTCGCCGACTCTCCGGTTCGCGAGGGGGCGCAGGGCCGCTGCGCCGACGGGAAGCCGCAGGAGCCCCTCGAGCGGACTCCGAGGAAAAAGCCTGCCCCAGACCCACGGCCGGCCCACGGGGAGCCCGGCCGCGGGCTCGGTGGAGGCGAACCGGCTCAGACAAAGGCCCGGCGCCGGCTGTCCGCGAGCGGGGGAGGGGCGCTGAGCCCCGCGCAGACGCAGACGGCCATGGCCCCCGCCTCGGGCCGCCCGGCGGCCTCGCCTCACTCTCGCCCCAGCCCCTCGCCTGGTCGGCCGCCCAGACTCACCGTCCCGAGCCGTGCCCATGAGCTGGTCCAGCAGAGCCCGCATCTGCGCCTGGGCGGACATGGTGGCCAAGCGGGCGACCGCGACAGGTCCTACCGAGGTGGCGGCGGCTACGAAGGACGGCCGCGTCGGTCTAGAGCCCGCTCGGCTCTTGCCCTCCGCGGGGGATGCCGGGAGGAAATGCGTGGCGCCAGTGCTTGGCCTACTGGGAAGTGTAGTTTCCGGGGCGGGGAGCGCGTAGGCCTGGGGGCGGAGCCAAAAGCCCCCGACGAGTCACCGCCCACCTTTTACCCGAGTTGAGGCGACCGCTGGGAACCTGCCATCCTGAACTTCCGCAGAGTGTGGAAAGCGAAGTCTTCTACCAGCGGTGAAGGCGTGCGTTTAACAAGTGCCTGGGGCTGTCTTACTTCTGTAGAATTGGCGTGCTAAACGTGCTCTCTTAGGGATTCCGCTACCCCGCATTGAAGACTGAATCGCTCTACCGCTGAGCCAAATTCCTAGCTTTTTTTTTTTCTTTCTTTGTTTTGTTTTGTTTTGTTTTGTTTTGGACACAAGATCTCCCTAAATTAAGTTGGCCTGGAACTTGCAATTTGCAGTTCTCCTGCCTCAGGCTTTGGAATCACTGGACTTGTAGGCGTGCGCCACTGCACCTGGCTCATAGGAGACTTTTTCTTTTTTTCCTTTACTTTTTTTTTAATTTATTTTTTAGGTGTAGATGGACACAACACAATGCCTTTATTTTTATGTGGTGCTGAGGATCGAACCTAGTCCGCCAGCTCTAGGCAAGCGCTCTATCTCTGAGCCACAATCCCAGCCCCTCAAACTACTTTTCATAGCTCATTATGTCCTGTGAGGTCTGGACCCTCTGGAACCATATCTTATCTGGGTTCCACTCCCCAGATTTCCTCAAGTACTGCAGTCATCAATGCTCTTTCTGGCATGGATATTGTTAACTTAAAAGAAAATGGCATTCCAGGACTTCCCCATTTCTTCATCCTCCGCAAAGACCTCTAATAACATCTGATATTTGGATTTATGATAAAAACACTTACTTTGCAAATACATACAGATAAAGGCAAAGATTTAAAAAGAGGGACCACAAAGTGCTTTTTAAAGCATCAAAGTCTTTAGGACAGGAGTCTTCTGTGTTTCTCCTTTGCTACCAAAGCAGTAAAACTTAGTTTTCCTTTTTCTCAAAACGGTGTCCTCCTTATTGGATTGGAACAAGGACCGAGCTTTCACGAACAATTTGGCACTCCATATTGGGACCCAAGAGCAGCCTCCACACCAGCTTTCTTGGTCAGGCCTGGCTGTCCAAGGAACCCCGCTTCCATGTTGAGGAATCATGGTATTGGTGAGTTTGTTGAGAGCCAACTGCTAAAGAAATTGGGAGTGTGAGTTTGCCTTGGACCAAACTAGAGAGCTGTTCCTGTGATTAAAGGGAGGGGCTGAGGGACTGGCCCAGCAAGTGCTGAAGCTACCTTTTGCTTTGGGGAACTCCCACCTTCTCTCTTTGAACTGCACAATTTCCTCCATCAGTTGCTCTACTTTGAGAAAAAGGAAACTGAACTCAGGAAAGTTGCTACAACTTTGGCCATTTGCATGATCCCTAACCTATGTATGCCTTGTGTAATCACCTGCTATCTGCAGACCTCTAGATTGCTCTGATGCTGAATGCCTTTAACTATCCATGACTCACCTGATAGAGAACAAGGACTTTGGGTTACTTACTCAACTTCACCATCTTTTAGCAGGAAGTACCTGGAGATGTCCTCGCCCACTTTCCATAGAAATAGGATGTAGAAATTGATAGTGGGAAATGAAGGGAGACCCTCATTGCTATACAAAATTACATATAAGAGGTTGTGAGGGGAATGGGAAAATAAACAAGGAGAGAAATGAATTACAGTAGATGGGGTAGAGAGAGAAGATGGGAGGGGAGGGGAGGGGGGATAGTAGGGGATAGGAAAGGTAGCAGAATACAACAATTACTAATTGGGCATTATGTAAAAGTGTGGCTGTGTAACCGACGTGATTCTGCAATCTGCATTTGGGGTAAAATTGGGAGTTCATAACCCACTTCAATCTAATGTATGAAATATGATATGTCAATAGCTTTGTAATGTTGTGAACAACCAATAAAAAAATAAAATTAAAAAAAATAAATAAAAAAAAACGAAATTGATCTTGGGAAATTATAACAGGGGTTCACTTGATGCTTGGACTGTATCCCTTGTGGCTTTGAAGCTTCATGTTATTTTCTATTTTCTTCTTTTTCCCAATCTTCATTTCCCTAAACTTCTTCTCCCTGATCTTCTTTTCCTTAAATTTCTCCTTCCTGACCTTCTTTTCCCTAAACTTCTCCTTCCTGATCTCTCCTCCCTAATCTCATTTTCTCTGAATCACTTTTATAAAACCCCTATTCCTACTAATGGGCAGAATCACAGCCTTTGGGATAGCAGTCCCCTCTGTTTCTCCTTTGCTTCTTTTTCCTTAAAAAAAAAAAAAAAAAGTGGGGACTGGGTTTGTGGCTCAAGTGGTAGCACACTGCCTACCATGCTTGAGGCACTGGGTTCAATTCTCAGCACCACATAAAAACAAAATAAAGATATTGTTTCCACCTAAAGCTAAAAAACAAAAAAAAATTTAAAAAGTGCTTTTTACCTGTTGTCTCACTTTTCATTATTCCCCTGAAGTAACCTTTGAGGAGAGGTGGGGTAGGTCTTATTTAATTTCCTTTCTTTATGGATGAAGATACTGAGAAAGGAATAGGTAACTAGATAGAGGTCACAGAGCTGGTCTTTGGCAGAGGCAAGGATGGAACCCAGGTACTGCCTCCATGGAACTATCTCAAGCTGCTCAAGGCAGCTCACCTACAGAATATTTCTAGTTCCTACAGATCTTGATGCAAATGTAGGAAATTCATATTATCCAGAAATATGTACTGCCAAGACCAAGCAATGAAAATGTCCTGGCCAAAGGAAAGGTGGCCAACATGAATATGCTTCATGGAGCTGAATGACACCTGTTTTTAATTCCAAACAAAAACAAATTGCAACATCTGTGGGTAAAAACCAGAAGCAAGGGAGTTGACTTTTTAAAGTTGTGGGTATAACACCTTAGGACTGCTTATAATTTCTTCTTTCAAAACCTTTCACAAATGATAATTTAACATTACTGATGCTCTGAGAAAGGAAGAAAAGACTTGCTCTACAAGAGTCCAACAAAGACTAAGATGATCATACAAGCATCCAAATTTAAAATTAGAGTATAGTCATACTCTAAGGCATGGCTATTTAAAAATATTCTAATGCATGACTTTTCTTCCAAATGGTGATTTGAACAAAACAATTTAATCATCTTAATTCTGAACCTTCTTTTACTGCCAAAATTATTAAAAATCAACTATGTATTGGTGAGAGTATAAGGAAAACTCTGATTGATTGCTGGATAAACTGTGTAATGTTGGGTAATTTGTGCATATTCTTTCTTTTTTGGAGGGGGTACCAAGGATTGAACCTAGTTGTGCTATACCACTTAACTACATCCCTAGTCCAACCCATTTTGTTTTTTATTTTGAGACAGGGTTTGCTAAGTTGCTRTGTCTGGCCTCTGACTTTGAAAGGGTAAAGTTTCTAAGCTAGAAAGCTTGAATGTAAAAGATTAGGTATTATTAAGTTCCTCTGTTACACCCAGATTCCTGAGATAGTTAAAACAACGCCCTACTGGCCGTTTAGCCTAGGGCCCTGTGCAGTTCGTCACAGGGCCCGGACCAATCAGTTTGAATGTGTAACCCGCTTACGAATG